GCTGCTGGTGCCAGCTCCAAGCCAGAGCTGAACCCTCTGACGCCATGCTCAGTAATCAGCTCTCAGTGTTGGAAACTGCAGTGGGTTGCTTCTGAGGGGACAGCAGCAACCCCCTGGCCCAGCCAACCGGCCTTAGGAAGGCTTCCACAGACAGTCTACCCCGTCTACCCGTGGGAGGAGGAGAGGGTGCTCCAGAATTGGTGGAAGAGGCTTGGACAGGGCCAGGAGGAGCTGGATTTGCAGATCCCCCCAAACATTTGAACTGGGGAACTGGGGGAAGGTAATTTCTAATGGAGGCCAAAGTCCAAGCAAAGCAAGACGGACAGAGCGCAGGAGTCAGGATTGTGGGTACAGGCTGTTAATGCCCAAATTCCCATCCCGGGAATAGCTGTGCTGCTGGTCCAGGGCATAGAGGCTGGGGGAGCAGGCCCCAGAGAGAGGCCCTGGATGGGGAAAGGAAAAGAGATGATGAGGGAGGCTGACCTAAGTCCAGGCCTAGGGTAGAGGGAGCAGCCTGCTGCAACACAGGGGAAAATGCATCAGCCTCTCCCCTTTGCATAGGGACTTCTCTTCTCCTCACAGGCCCAGCCCCAGGCTGGGGACCCCCAAGAATGTGTTTGCAGGCAGCATGAGGCATTCAGGTGGAGCGGAGCTTAGCCAGGTGTTTTTCTATCCTGGGTTGGGGGAAGGGACGAGATGGGGGAGGGAGGAGATGGGGAGGGAGAGGCAGTGTCAGAACAAGAAGGAAGCCTGTGCATAGGCTGGACAGGCCTTTAGGAGACCACGGCTGGCCCTGTCTAGGCCTCAGTTTTCCCACGTTGAAATGGGCTGGCAGCAGGCTGTTGCTGGTCTGAGTTTGGTGCTGTGGGTCCTGAGAGGCTGAAAGGGTGAGTGCAGGGGCTGTTGGGAGCTTTGGGAAGCAGAGGCCCCTTTCAGGTACTCATCACTGGGTCTGGGGAGGGTTTTCTGCCTTTCTTTTCTTTCCGTTGTGCAGAGTCGTCCTTCACCATGAACCCTGAACTCCATAACCAAGGTCTGACTCTCAGCCTTGGGCTGGACACTGGGGTCTCAATGCTCAGACAGACCCGGGTTCTGCCTCGGAGGAGGTCCCTCCACAGTCTAGTAGGGAGCCAGGCTTCTAATCAGGTAATTTTAGCATGAAGATGAGTTGCGTAATGCTATGAGGCCTCAGAAGAGATGACTAAATGCATTCTGGAGCTCTGGAAGACTTTCTGGAGGAAGGGGCCTAAGCTGAATCTTGAAGGCCAAAGGAAGTTAGCAAAGAAAGAGCTGGACAAACATACTCCAAAGCATAGAGGTGCAACTCAGCTCTGGCTGGCTCTGGGGACAGCAGTGGCAATAGGGAGAGAAGCAGAAGCCACAGTGGGGCACTGAGGAGCCCTGGGAGACTCCAAGCTGGGGGTGGGGTGACAGGGTCACCTACGGACATTGGAAAGACCTCTCTGGAGATAGGGAGGGAAAGTTTCCCACTGCGTCTAGTACCAAGCCATACCTCTCAGTGACTGGGCTCTTGGCACAGGCAGAATGGGGACCCCCTCTTGACTCAAGGCCCAGCCCCTATTCCTCAGGCTTCTGCAGCAGCCCTGTTCCCACACAGGCACGTATCACACTAGAGTTCCCCAGGGCTGTCTTCCATCTGCCTCTCTTACTGTGCTGGGAAACAGCAGCTGGGGCCCACTCACTGCCAGCATAAAGCCTGGGGGTCCTCAATATTTGGTGGGAGAAAAGATGGGAAGGACAGGCAACCCCTATTGGCTGTTCATTTTTTAAAGAGCTCCCCCCTTCCTTGTAGTTAGGTCCCCAAATTATTGCATAGGTTTTTCTTTTGTTTTGTTTTTCTGTAGCCAGTAGGCTGGCAGGCGCCATCCTCCAGGGAGGCCCGTCTCCCTCTTTATGCCTTTAAGACCTCCCTCTGAGAGGCCGATTTCCTCTGGAGGTGAGGTGGGGGGCTCTGCACTCTGCTGTCTGCTCACTATAGCAAGGCAACAGGTTACTGTGTCCCAGCCTTGCCTCCAGAAGGAAGGTGTGATTTGCCAGCACACCTGTGGAAGTGGCTCACCTCACTGCCATCAGATCCCATGACCCTGACCCACCCCTGGTTCTATGCAACCCACGTGCTCTGAGTCCGCACTGCCGGCCTCTGGCACGGCTTAGCCCTCAGGCTCTGTGTGCTTCCATAGCAGAGGGTTCCTGACCACCAGCTGCACCTGAGCCTTCTCTTGGAAGGGTTTGGGGGGAATCCAAACTACTCCATCTCTTGGTTATGTGGGCCAGATACTTCACCCCTCCTCCTTTAGAGCTACCACTGGTTGAGGGCTTACTATAAAGAAAGCTGTGAACTCACTGGATCCACACAAGCTCTGGGATATTGCCTTATCATGAGAAGTCTAAACTGAGAAGTCAAGGGGCTTGTCTAAGTTCACACAGCTCAGTAGGGCAAACCTCAGTTTATGTGTTTCAAACACCTATTGCATATGGTTGTATGAATTAATGGACATAACGTTTATCGAGTGACTGGCACAGGGCCATGCTCCAGGTGGGAGCTCCCTGCCTTGCCCACCCAACAACACTGAGCTGCTCCTCTGTTGGGAGGATGTAGAGGGGAGAGAGGCTGTCCAGGGGCCTTCTTGGGGGAGGCAATGTCTATGACTGGGTCTGAAAGGATTGGGGAGAGCACTGCTGTGCGTCTTGGGGAAAGGTGCCACGCCTCCCTGTTTCTCTGTCTGCAGGGTGCCTGCGGGCACCACATCTTCCTGCTCTGAGGTGGGCAGGAGCTCTTCCAGGGAAGGAAAGTTTTGTAAATAGCAGGCGTGGCCACATTAAGAAGCTGTTTGGGGAGCTGACCTTTCACCTTGCCTTCCCAGGAAGCCAGGAACAGTCATCTGTGTCTGGGGTGGGGTGGAAGAGGAATGTGTGGAGCCTGTGTGTACTTGGTGTGGTGTGAGTGTGAGACCCCCTTCCCAGACTCCTCTAAGCTACTCTTCTTTGTTAACTCTGCCCAGGAAGCCCACATAAGGACAGACTGTTTCTCCCAACCTCAATACTATTTCTCCTCTCTTACACCACAGCCTAATAAACACGTGGGGGCTCCCAGGACAGCCACGTTGTATTAATTACTTCCTGTCATCAAACAAAGGCTTGATAGCCACCTCTCTCCATAGGTTCTGCACAGGACCCTTGGGGTACAGAAGAAAGGGCAAGGTCAGGGCATTGAGAAAGTGACAGTCAGCTGACATGCTACAGAGCTTTTTACAGTTTATGAACTGTTTCCACACGGATTTTGTTTGACACTCACCTTACCCTACGAAGCAGATCTCACGGTTTTCATTTTGCAGATTAGGAAGCTGAGTCTCAGAGTTACAAAATGGCTGCCAAGTCCCCCACCCTGTGTCCTTTGTTTTATATTCCAATGTGTTTTAGTGACGCCGAAAAGGAATGGACAAGACACTGATTAAGTGACCTGCTGCCTTTGTGAGAGTCCTGAATTAAGACAGGACTTGGTGGGGTGAGTCTTATCAGATTCATCCTGGCCTAGGTACGACTCACTCAGGCTCAGAGGGATTGGCGAGAACACCAGGCCACCTGAGCACAAAACCTGAGAGTCCTGGACCTAAGAGCCGAGAACACTGCCCTCCTCCCACTCCTCAAATAGCAAGGTGAAGGTGGGTCAAGCCGTGGTGTGCTGGAGGAGGGGGAAAGGAGGGCGGAGTTGGTGAGGGGTGAGAGCAGGGAAGAGCAAACAGCTGTGACCTGAGGCTTGGCTGTGACTAGTAGCTGTCAGCACGTAGATACACTTTCCTGATGCTGAGTTGTGACCTTGGGAAAGCCCCAGCTATCTCTGAATCTCTGCTCCCCAGAGCTCTCCAGACTAGTCCTAAGGCCCCTCCAGCTCTCAACTAAGTGATACCCTCTCCTCTCCCCTCCTCTCCTCCCAGCTGACCTCCACTGCCTCTTCCTATTCCCACCTGTAGTGTCTAGCCCGTCCTCCTCACCTCCAACTGCTCCAACACCTTCCCGACTCTTGGAACCTGGGGCCTCAGGCCTGCACAGTCTTCTGACTCAGGCAGCCCTGACCTCTGGGACCTGAGCAGATGGACTGGGAGGTTTTGCCCCATGAACTTGCTCTCTGACCTTTGGCATGTACACCCCTCCTCCACTGTAGACACCTGTTTCCAGTTCTTAGGCAGCTCAGGAACTGACCAGGTTTCTTCAGAGAAGGCAGCAGCACTGAGGGGCTTCTCACCCCAAATCAGGTGGCCCAGAGAGTTGGGGTTGGGAACAGCCCTTTCACCCCTCCAGCCTCTTTCTTGGCAATATACTATTCCTGGCTGGAAATACTCACCCCACCCCATCTCTCAGGCTACACAGGCTCAGGCCCGTTTTATGGAGGGAGATTTGCCAAAAGAGTTCAGTTCACTCAGCACTCCCTACCTGTACCCTCATACCTGGCTCACTACAGGAATAGGAAAATCACCCCTTCCTCAGACAGGTGTGGTGTTCTAACAAGAGTTGAGATGCATCTGTCTGGAATTTGTCTTCACTGGCTACACTTAGACTAAGGAGCCCTTCTCCAGCTCCCTAAAGCCATTAGTACTGGCCAAGGGAGCCAGAGGACCTACTGTGTGCCAGATATTTCAATACAACCTCTTCTAAGGCTTACGACAATCCCACTATGACATAATTTCAGTTTTACTAAAATTATGGAAACTAAAGCTCAACGAGGTCAAGGGGCATGCACAGGGCCACGTAGCTAGAAAGTGACAAGGAACAAATAATCTAACGAAGTGGCTGAAGGAAGGCGTGCGTTGGGCGCGACCAGCACTGGTTCGTGGAGTATGGTGGGTACAGACGTGCACCGCGCCCACAGCCGGGTCCTCAGAGGGTTGGCCCACACAGGCCCTCCGCATCCTGGGCCCAGGGGAGCGCAGGCTCCTGGAAGCGCTGCCGGGCTCTGCCCCAACCGTGCTGGCCGCCCCGCCCCCGCTCCGCCCCCAGCCCTCCCCGACCCGGACTGCAGACAGCGCCCGGCGGCGGCGCGAACAGCAGCGAGGAGGTTGGCTCTAGGCTTGGAACTCACCGCGAGTTCCCGCACAGGGCCCAGCGGGACAAGGACCCACGGCTTTGGCAGCGCTGGAGGATGCGGCCGCAGCTCCGGGCAGCAGCAGCGGGCCGCCTGAAGCCCTGCAGGTAGGAGCTCGGCAGCCCGTCCGGCCTGGAAACTTGGGCCGAGTTTGCGGGAGGCGCGTGCGGAAGGGGTGGGCGGCGCTGCCCTAGGGCGCCCCTACCGGCCGGTCGGAGGAATGGGGAGCGCGGGCCCTGAGCCAAGGGTGGTGTGGTTCCTGGCTGCTACCAGCCCCTAGCTAAAGGGCTGCAGGTCCCGGGCCGCATCCTTGCCCCGACTCTCCCTGGACTTCGAGGCTCCTAGCACCGGCAGTGCTCTGGAGCTCCGGCGGGGCCCGGGTGCAGAGCTGGAGAGGAGGAACGGGGTGGGGGGGGCGAGCCCTCGGGCCTCCCGCGGGCCCTGGCTCTGGTGGACTGTCCGGGCGGAGCTATGTGAGGGGCGGCGGGGGTACTGGGCCTGGGGGGCAGAGGGCGCTGAGGCGCTGTGGGACCGTGGACGCGCCCTGTTGGGACTGGACGGCCCTGCGGTTTCCTCGCTGTGGCTTGACTCACCCTCTGGCCGCAGCCCAGACTGGCGGGATCGTCCCGAGGCGGTGGCTGCCAGGATTTTGTGGCCGGGTCGCCCCCTGCTCCGGGTCTCCCGCCAGTCTTTGGGTGTCAGTCGATGGTGCTCGATGCACGGGCCTGCGTGTGTGCACACACGTGTGCCGGTGTCCGAGAGGGGAGAACGCAGTTCTGGAGGGGAGTGTGTGCAGATGTGGGCCATGCACGTACTTGCAGGCACGGGTTTGCCTGCGTGGCGGCCGCCTGTATATCAGCTTGCTGTGGGTGCACGTGCGCCCCAGTGCCGCAGGGGAGGGCATGGGGGACACCCGGAAGCCCCAAAGCCAGGCGGCTGAAGGCCCCAGGTACCAGAGTTATGGGCAAGAAAGCGGCTTAAGGCCCATCCCGCGACCCTTGTCCCTCCACTGTAGTCTGGGCTGCCCAGGTTCGGTTCTAGGGATAGCAGTGTCCCAGAACCTCAGCTGGAGAAAAGTGTGAGAATACGGGGAGGGGGGCCCTATTTCAGTCTTTTGAGAGGCCAGATGCTGGCCACAGCTGGGCAGGATCACTCTCTTCCTGTTCTTTCCCAACGTCCATCCAGCCATCCAGAGACCGCCCTCTCCCCCCAGAGGTGGAAGAAGGAATTGGGCCACGGATCTGTTTGTCTCCCAGCCTAGGCCCTGGATGGCATAGCACTAGTTGGCTCTTCCAGACCCTGCCCTGGGCCTTGCTTGAGGTTCATCCTCCTAGCCCAGTTCCAGCCTCAGCCAGCAAACATCGCGGTGGCCCAAAGAGTGATGAGACCGTGCTCCCTGGAGTCCCATCTTTCTCAAAGCAGTTGTTTGCCAACTCAGTATGTATGTGTCAGGAAAGGAGGCTCCTGTCTTGAGTGAAGAGGGGCCTCACTTGAGGGAGCGGGCCTCCATCTCCTACTGATAGGAAGGTCCCCTCCATACACTTCATAGTCCTCTGGTGGCTCTCTGGAGACTCCGCTCTCCTAAAAGCAGCTGAGGGCCCCAGGGGTGGCCTCACCTCTCTAGGCTGGGTCCCTGGGGGGGATGTCTCAGGAAGTCTCTAGGGCAAAGGCACACAGTGGGCAGAGCCCAGGAGAGAAGGACTCCTGGGACTGGGAAGTGGGCATGAAGGAGGCCCCAGGGAACATTTGGGGGAGATGAGACTGAGCCAGCACTTATTTATTTAGTCCAGAGCTCCTGAGGGCAGGGTGGGGCTCAGTACCCCACAACTATATGACCTCTTTTAAGGGAAGAGAGACAGAAACAACAATTGGCTGTTTGTCTTATATATGCATTTATTGGTTGATTCTTATATGTACCCTGATCAGAAATCAAACCTACAACCTTGGCATATCAGGATGATGCTCTAACCAACTGAGCTGCCTGGCCAGGGCCATACAACCCTTTCTTGTGAAGCTGTATTCTCCCGGGATAGGGCACTGCTGTTGATACTGTGGTCCTGATCCCCCCTCCTGTCTTCTTTGCAACATCCCTTCCCTGGGCTGGTCTGAGGTATAATTTCTGGCCAGGAGATGAGCCAACTTTCTGAGAGTTCCACCTGGCTTCCTTGGGATAGGAGTGGGCACTGGCCCCCATACTACCTTCGGCTCTTCCTGTCCCCAAAATATGCTGGACTAACACTGAGCCTGTGATTGTCATTGGCTACCAGCCAGAAGGGAGGAGAGGGCTGGGAGAGGGGGCTGTTTTTGGCTTCTTGGTAATAGAAACCTGTGACACCTGGTTCATGGCCTAATCAGAGCAAGACTGAGCTGGTTTATTTTTTCTAAGCCACCTGTGGGTTTCGGGGAACAGGGTGCTGGAGGAGGCAGAGGGAGGTCACGTGGCCTTAGCAGACTAACCTCGTAACCCCTCATAGGTCTTTGAGTGCCTGCTGCCTTGAGGAAACCCATGCTTCACCTCTGTGGGCCTGGGTTCCAGTCTTTGCTCAGCTTTGCTTCTGGGCCTCAGTCTTTCTCTCACACTCAGTTTTAACATCAGTACAATGGGGGTAGTTGCAAACTAGCACTCTCCAGGCCCTGGAGGCTCCCTGCCTGGACATTCACACCCTCCCACCTCCCCACCTGTTTTTCTTGGTGCTCCCACCGTTTGCCTGCGAATAGCCAACTGCAGTTTAAGGACTGGGGTGGACACAGGCTCGCCTCTAACTTTTGGGACCTTCCTGCTGGTGCCACAGCGCCATCTGCTGGACAGCCTTGGTTCTCCTGTTGGGGGTGGAGCTAGGGTGGGAGGGAGTGTGGCTTGTGCAAAGCGATGCACCTGGCTACCTCTCCTTGGGGGTCACCTCTCCTGGGGGACCACCCTTCTGAAATAAATCCAGTATCTGTTTTGCTCTGGGCCTAGGAACCTGAGTTCCAGGCCTGGCTGTGCCATTTTTAAATAAGCCTGGCAGGTCAGATCTTGTGTGGAACATAAGTGACTCCAGCTTAAAGGTAATCTGCTGTCTTCACATCCGAGTGAACCCGGACCCTTGACCCCCGCCCCTCCCTCCAGGTCAGCTCTGGAATATGTGCACAGAGTTCTTGGCTAGTCACAGGATTTTCATTAGTTCTGTCTCCAGGGCGAGTCCCCCTCAATGTTACCTATTTCTAAACTTGCTCTGGCACCAGAGCCCCCTGGCACCTGATCCCTTTGATCACCCACACATTCTCACTGCTTAGGAGATAGAAGCACATGGTCTAGGGGGTGGGAGGTGCGGGGACCCATTTCGTCTTGCTGCTGTCCGGGACTGCTTTTCTGTACGGAAGTTCCCTATTAAATTCATTAACTGACAAGCCATGCTCATCTTCCTCGTTCTTTGGTCTAGGCTCCTTTGGTGAATCGGGGCTGCTCTTTCAAAACAGATCTAAAGAGTGTCACAGGCCCTGACTGGTGTGGCTCAGTGGGTTGGGCATTGTCCTACAAACCAAAAGGTTACCGGTTTGATTCCCAGTCAGGGCACACGCATAGGCTGTGGGCTCTGTCCCCAGTCGAGGTGCTTGCAGAAGCCAAGCAGTCAGTGTTTCGCTCCCTCTCTTTCTCCCTCCCTTCCTCTAGAAAGTAAAGATTAAAATAAATTAAAATATGAAAACAAATAAAATCTTAAAAAAAAATAGAATGTCACAGGAAACCTGCATTTGTAAACAATGCCCCATTCTGCATCTTGGCTGCAGTGGGCATCTTGCATTCACTCTGGGACTTGGACTAAGAGCTCGTCATGGGAGGTCAGAGCCTGCCTCTTATGCTGTATCTTTTCATCAGTTACTTGGGCTTGAATGGGTCTTGTATGTATATGGGGAGTGGGGAGTAGCCAACAAAGCGATCCTCAGACTGAAGTGTCTTCAAGGTCTGAAAGCCCAAGGAGGTTGTCTCGGGAGTCCCTGGAAGGAAAGTGGAACAGGGGGGCTCCTGGCGTGGAGGCGGGGGAGTGTGTGCGGGGCTGCCGCACTGCAACTCATTAACAAAGGGTTCTGCCGTTTAACATATGAAGTTGGGAACCTCCGCATTATATCATGCATTCATTCATTTATTCACAGAATCTTCATTGAGTATCTTCTAAGTGCCAAGTTCTTAGGTGTAGTGGTGAGTCAGGGAGAGCAGCCGCCCCTTGTCGCTTACCTGTCGCCTGTTCTTCTGATGGCCCATGTCTGTCTTCCTCTCTGTGCCAGGTCAGCAGTTGAGTAGCTGGGGCCCCGGAGGGCTTGAAGCCTTTTCACAGAGATGGCGGAGAAGCGGCCACAAGGCCCCCTGGGGCCCATGCTGTACGGCAAGCTACCCCGTCTGGAGGCCGACTCTGGACCCCGGCACAGCTTGGCTCCCTCTGCTGCTAACCAGGACCCCTGCAACTACAAGGGTGCCTACTTCTGCCCCATGGAGGGTGCTGCCAAAGCAGGCTCAGAGCGGTTGGCGTCCTGGACCCGGTACCCTCCTTTGTATCCTGCCAGCATGGCAGGACCCCCGCTTCGGGAAGAAAACCTGTTGGCCAACTGTCTGCTCTATCGCCCGCCAGCAGGAAGCTCTGAGAAGGTGCAGGACTCTGGCCCCGGTGAGCTCCTGCCCTTCAGCCCCCAGGCTCATTCCTACCCGTGCCCCCCGCTGGCGGCACCCAAACCCGTCTATCGCAGCCCTCTGTGTTACGGGCTCTCGGCTTGCCTGGGGGACGGGGCAGCGAAGAGGTCATTGGATGTTGATTGGACACTGATGGCTGGGCCCCTGTTACCCCCGGCCGACGCACCTTGTTCTCTGACCCTGGCTCCTGGCAAGGCTCAGTCCCTGGACGGCACCTTCTTGCGTGGCGTGTCAGTTGATGGATCTGGCAAAGACTCCTCAGGGGGCTTCTCCCCGTGCCAGGCATTCCTGGACAAGTATCAGACCATCCACAGCGCGGGCTTCCTGGCTTCCAAGTATACAGGTCCTTATTCTGGGGACCCCAAGCAGTCATTGTCTGAGGGCCCCCCCAGTCCTTGGACCCAGCTGGCCCAACCCTTGGGGCCAGCCTACCAGGACACAGTGCCTTCCCACTACCCACTCCCCCCACCTCCGCAGGCTCTGTCCTGCCCTCCAGTCTGTCACCACCCAGAGAAGCAGAGCAGCTACAGCTCGGTGCCCCCACTACAGCCTCTGGGAGCCCACAAGGGAGCTGGGTACCTGGCCGGTGGGCAGAATAGCCCCTACCTGAAGCACCAGACAGCCCAGACACCCTGCATGCCCCCAGTGGGGCTGGACACTTACTCCTATCCCTCTGTCCCCCTCCCAACACCCTCACCAGGCCTTAAGGTGGAGCCGCCTCTTGCTCCACGGTGCCCACTTGACTTTGCCCCCCAGTCGCTGGGCTTCCCTTATGCACGGGATGACCTTGTTCTCTATGGAGCATCCCCCGGGCTCAGAGGGACACCACCTTCCCAGAACAGTGTTCAGGCTGTGCCACAGCCCAGTGCTGTCCAGCAAGCGTGCCAGCCCATGAGTGCCAGTCAGCCGTGCCCAGAGCCTGTGACTGAAGTGCGGGAAACTCAGGAGACCATGTGGCTGCCAAGCTGCAGGAAAGAACAGCTCCAGCCCCAGCTCAAAGAGCACCCTAGGGCACCCATTGTCATTGGAGATAGTCCAGTTCCCCACACCCCACCAGCACTCCCATCCTGTGCGCAGGAGCACCGGTCTCTTCTAGAGAGCCAGGGCACGCTGTCCCCTGGCTCTCCGCCCATGCCCATTATCGACAACGTCTTCAGCCTGGCCCCCTACCGTGACTATTTAGATGTGCAGACACCCGGGGCCTCATCTGAGCCTGACCCGGCCCCAGCCCCCAAGGACAGCCACGACCAAGACTCCCGGGAGACGCCGCCTGCCCAGGAGGCCCCTGTGAGGGGGCCTTGCTCACTGAGGGAGGAGGTGGCGCTGGACTTGAGTGTGAAGAAACCCGTGGCACAGGCTCCTCCTGTCAAGGTCCCGGACCCTGCGGTGCACTCCGAGCTTCCCGTAGCCGTGGGTGTGCCGGGCGTGGGGAGCACAGTCTCAGAGCTGCCTGGGTTGCCAGTGACCGCAGAGGCCACCCCAAAGACCAACTTCCACAGCTCTGTGGCCTTCATGTTTCGAAAATTCAAGATCCTCCGGCCGGCACCCCTGCCTGCAGCCGTGGTCCCATCCATGCCCACCTCGGGCCCTGCCTCTGACCAGCCTGCACCCACCTCTACATCTATGCCCGTTGGACTACAGATTCTCACCCAGCCCTTGCCTGTGGCCTGCTTTGACCTGGCACTGCCCAGTTCTCCAGCTGTATCTGTGGCCGCCCCAGCCCCTACCATGGCTCCATCACCTGCTCCAGCCCAGGCTCCAACTCCAGCTTCTACCCCTGTCCCAGTGGACTCCCCAGAGCAGTACTTTGCAGGGCTGCACGAGTCCCTGTGTGATGCCATCTCGGGCTCAGTGGCCCACTCCCCACCCGAGAAGCTGCGCGAATGGCTGGAGACGGCTGGGCCGTGGGGCCAGGCAGCGTGGCAGGACGGCCAGGCTGTGCAGGGGCTGCTGGGCAGGCTGCTGTCCCAGCTGCAGCGCTTCGTGTGCACACAGCAGTGCCCCTTCCCCCACGTCGTGCGGGCGGGTGCCATCTTCGTGCCCATCCACCTGGTGAAGGAGCGGCTCTTCCCGAGGCTGCCGCCCGCTTCTGTGGACCACGTGCTGCAGGAGCATCGGGTGGAGCTGCGACCCACCACCCTGTCAGAGGAGCGGGCCCTGCGGGAGCGGGCCCTGCGGGGCTGCACCTCGCGCATGCTGAAGTTGCTGGCGCTGCGCCAGCTGCCCGACATATACCCTGACCTGCTGGGCCTGCAGTGGCGTGACTGTGTCCGCCGCCAGCTGGGTGAGCATGGGGCAACCCCAGTCGCCACCGAAAGCTGTGTGAGCGAGTGACAGGTGTGTGGGTTGTACGAGTGCTCACAGCCAGGGGCTGAGGGACTCCTCTGGAAAGGTCAGGGAGGCCCTGGAACCTGGGAGGGTGTGGGGATGGCTAGCCTTCCAGGATGGGCTCATGGACCCCCATCCTTCTTCACCCCCAGTGTCAGTGACAGCCTTTAGAGCCTCTTCTGTAAGCCACCGAGTGTGCCAACTTCTATGTCCGCGTGGAAATGCTTCCTTGGCCATCCTGGCGCTGCGTCCTCCTGGTCCCCCTCCCTCCTCTCCTGTTCCTCCTGTATTTGCTGCAGGCTTCTCTGGACTCTGGGACTCTGCCCAGGCCCTGTTTATTATCTGAAGTTATTTCCCCCCGTCTGTCTCTCCCAACCTCCCCACTTCTGAGCTCCAGCCCCACATTACCGACTGCATGCTGGACTTCTGCACCTGGCTGGTGTGTCTCTGACCCTGAAGTCCTCCCAGGCCACACTCCTGAGCTGTTCCCTAAGCTCATTCCCCATCCCAGAGAACAGTACCTCCTCTCATCCAGTGCCCCCTTCCCGAAACCCAGCGGGGGTGTTCGCCCCTCCCCCCCACGTTACTGCCTTCTGAATGCACAGTTTTCAGTCTTCCCAGGTATTTGCATTCATGGAAGTGTCCTGGTAAGTTGAGATCTTGTTTGGCAGTTTGCTTTTCCCAACTAACTTGTGCACATCACTGTCCAGCATGCTCTGTGCTGTTCAGAGCAGCCCCTGACCGGCTCCGGTGGCCCCACCTCACCCTGAGGGGGTGTGTGATCTTGTGGTGGGCACCATCTCATTTCTTCCTCCAGGACTTTGGTGATGGTGCCCATTGGTGTCCGTTGCTGCCTCTTCTGCCTCAGGAGACCTCAAGTCGAGGCCTGCTGTGTCTATAGAAGTGTTCCTCGCCCCTCCCCATCCCGACAGCCTTGCCCCAGGCCCTTACCTGGTCCAAGCTTCAGGTCGGGTAGAGAAGGGATAGAAGAAATGACGGGCAGGTGTGGGGCCTGGCATTTGGGTGATGAAACTGCTGACCCCTGAGCACTTAAGAAGTTGGGGCAGTTGACTCAGTGGGGCACACACAGTGTTAGTGGGAGTCTTCTATCCCGAGAGAGAGTGCGCTGTGTTGTGCGTTGTGCAGGGGCTGCCCGGCCCTACCTTCTCCCTGTACAGTTGGGCTCTCTGGGACCCAGAAATGGATAGGTCCATTTTTCCTGGGCTGCCTGCTGGACAGTGGGACCCAAGGCTCTTCACAGTCCCCTTCTGTTCTGACTGGGTCTGCAAGAGTTTGGCGCCTGCTGAGAAAATGACTGGGGCCCAGGTCCCTGCTGCCAGCTGGGTTTCAGTAGCCCTGTCCCCACTCCTTTCTTGAGCTTTGGGTCCTCCCCACAGCTTCGTGGTGCCGCCCTTCTGTGGTGCCCTTGGGACAGCGCTTCCCTGGCACCCTCTCCCTAGTGGCCGTGCTTTTGGTCAGGAGCGCCCTCCCATGCCCGCCGATGCTCCCTCTGGGCTCTGCTTGCAGGGCAGGCCCTGTGGGGCGTAGGCTCCTGCCCTAGTGGCAGTGTGGCAGAAGATGACAGCACTCTGAAGCGTGGCCCTCCTTCTCTCAGGCCCCTTTCCTCTTGTCCTTGCACCACACAGCCCCTCCCTGAGTAGCGCCCTCATCGGGGAGGGCTGTGGTGTTACCTGGGGGAAAGCATGCTCTCGCAGCTTAGTGGTTTGGCCAGTGGGCATGTGCAGGGAACAGGGTCATGGTTTCTGTGACCCTGCTGTGGTCATCCTGGCCTGGAACAGAACGGGGCCACTGGTCTAGATAGCTTGGGAGGCCAGGGTCTGGGGGTGTCGAGGTCTTTAGCATGACTGTGTGTTTATTTCCCAGGTGACTTTGACACAGAGGCTGGATATGTGCCGTCCTCAGAACCCACCATGGCCAGAGATGAGCCAGAGAGCCTCTCCCTGGCTCAGAAGTCACCCATCCCCAAGGCCAGGAAGCTGGGGAGGAAGCCGCCAACTCCTGGCCCGGAGAAAGCAGAGGCAGCCGCTGGGGGACGGTCCCACAGTGCCTCGCCTGCCCCTGATGCCGGCGCCAGCCCGGCCAGCCCCAGACTGAGGGCCCGCTGCCGAAGGCTGCTGGCAACTGCCTGGCTCAATGGCCTGGCCCTGCCCACTTGGGGCCACAAGACCTCAGGAGCAGCCCTGCCCTCATCCTGCCCACATCTGTTGAGCAGCCAGAGCCATCACCTGTAGCACCGGTGGCTGGTGCTTTTTGGACAGCTGCTGTTTGGTAATCACTCTCTCTACCCCTCCCTTCCGCTGGCCGGCTGCCCAGGAGAGGAGGGGATATGTCCTTGGAGTGCTTCTCACCTGGCCCTCTTCCCCAGGTCCCCGCTCCCCGGCCAGGCCAGGCTGTGAACCCCTGGACTTTTAACTTGAGGGCCTTTTTTAGAAGGACTACTTTCCATTTCATCCTTAGAGAAGACATGTGTGCTTTGGAGTTCCACCAACCAGGGCCCAGATCCTGGCTCCTTGCTGTGTGATTGGCAAGTCACTTCCTCCCGAGCCCTTAGTTCCTTGTTTGTAAAGCAACAACATAGCCTACCTCACAGGGTTGTGTGAGGGTGACTCCTGGCACGCCCGTCATGGTTCTCTCCCTGCTTCCCCAGGGCAAGGGCCCAGTTCCCAGCCAGGGCCTGGGCTAGGAGGCTGAGGCAGGCAGAGCCTCCGGAAAGTTTTTATGTATCACAGGACTTGGTTATCTTGGAGTGGTACAGTGAATGCCACACTTTCTAAAGTCATTCCCCAGGAAAGCCTAGAGTTACAGCCCCAGTGTTTGGGCTTGGGTCCTAAACCCCAGCCTGTAGCTCCCTGAGGGAGTCTGCCACCTCCCCACACCACCCCCATACCCCACCCCCACCCTCCTACCCCCGCTGCAGGAGTGCAGGGGTATAGCCTGGGGCTGGCAGCCTTGTTCTGGGCCTGCTGTTCTTACCCCTGGGAGGTCCCAGGCCTGTCCTAAATTGATGCCAGTGACTGCCCTGAACTACCAACCTCACCTAGTGCATTATCCCAAGACAGTTGTATGTCTGCTGGAAGCCGAGCATCTGCTGCGACTAGAAGGGTCAGGCTGAGAGACAGCTCATTGTTGAAAGGTCTCTGAAGATGCAGACTGAGGACTTTGTCTCCACAAGCTGGAGCTCTGTCAGCCAGGCCTGCTGTGGGTTACCTCCTTGCGGTGCTAAACTGAGCCGAGTCTGGCAAGCTGGGCACTTGGCCTGGTTAAGTTTGTAACAAGGCTGTGGTCCCGGGAGATACCGCCTGCCCAGGAGGCCCCTCTGAGGGTGCATTGCTCACCTAGGGAGGCGGTGGCACTGGACTTGAGTGTGAAGAAACTGTGGCAGAGGCTCCCCCTGTCAAGGTCCCCAGTCCTGTGGTGCACTCCGAGCTCCCTGTAGCCGTGGGTGTGCCGGGCGTGGTGTCCCCCCCACCCCCGCAGAGGCACCCTCGGAGGCAGGCCTTTAAACATTAAAGCATATGGGTTGGTTTGGGATCTGGGATTGGCTGTGTGTTGGGGGGTTGTAGATTTTCGTCTTCACCAGGTGATTAGCCTTTCGCCGGATTGCTGCAGCTGTCCCTGCTTCCAGCCCAGAAGGCTCTCCAGCAGGGTTGCCCCAGCTAGCTCTGGCCATGTGGGCTCTTGTCGCCTACCCACTGGGCAGCCACTTACCTGCTCAAGAAAGCCCCCTGAGACCCTTATAGGTCCTAGTGGTTGCCGATCTGTAGCCTGTGGCCTGGTGAGAAGTGCTGGTTTCCAGACCCAAGTGCACATGCCTCTCGGGACCAAGGATGTGTCCCCCAAGGTCTAAGTGGAACAGCACTGTTCCTCGCTCCCCATCCCAGTGGTTTATCCTGCAGAGGGACAGCCCCTCGCACACTTTAGTGGGGCTCTGTTTCCTGCAAAGGTTTGTTCTCAGGGCTGCTGAGATGGCTTCCTGGATGTGCTTTCCAGTCCACTTGCCCCAGGGGCCAGGCCCCTGAGGCTGGTCAGACGTGCCTGGCCTTGACTGTAATGGGTTTCGCTGAGCTCAGTCACACCATTCCTCCTGTGCATAACTACATTGTGGCTCCTATAGCCAGAGCCTGGCCTTGCGCTGGACCAGGGTTGGAGTGGCGGCACTTGCTCCTCGTAATGGACAGGCGGGAGATAGGCAACCCCAGTGCAGTGTGGTCTCCACAGTGACAACCTGGGGAAAGGGTGCTGAGGAAGCTCTGGAGGGGCCTCTCCTAGTCTGGGGGTAAGAACGTGTCATGGGTCCCAGAAGCCTCGCTGCCTGAAATGGGTGTTGAAGACCAGCAGGACGAGGTGGGTGAAAGCTGTTGTGAAGGGCAGTGTGAGTTGAACAGTGCGGAGGCTGCGGAGAGACGTGTTTGGGAAAGGGAGGTACCCTGGTTGGCGCTCAGGGAACCCGGCAGGAGGGGCGGGGCCAGAAGACAGGGTTCCAGTTCCAGCCTATTGCAGTTCACTCAGCCCTGGAACCTGGAGAACGGGATGTGGTCCATGTCTGTGGAAAACTCCAGTGTAGAAAGTTAGAGTTGAAGCTGCTTAGACAGGATTCGGACATGGGTGGAATTGCTCTGAATCTCCAGGCCAAGGGCAGCCTCACCCACCTCACTGCCAGGGTCATACTGGCTTTGGCAGTTTGTTAACTTATTTATTTTCTCTTTTCCTTCTCTTTTTCCTCCCCCTGCCCCTTTCCTTGCACACCTATTGTGCCCGTTCCCTGGCAGGCATACATTGAGCTGATGTTACCATGGTTACCGGGTGGGTTCTGAGCCTCGGCATCTGTCCACTTGTGTCCTACAGGACCATGATGATGCAGAGTCCGGGTTAGAGTCCTGCAGAGCTGGACGTGTTGGGAGGAGGCAGCTGCTCCCCATGGCACACCTCTGCCCCGGAAGCCCCAGTCGGAGGGCTCTGCTAAGGGAAGGGCTCTGACAGTGTCCTGGGGGCCCAGCCTAAGGTGGCAGGGCAGGAACAGAGCTGCCCAAGATTCCTGCCTGAGGGAGGCGGTGCCACAAGCCACTGCTTTCTCACCAAGGCCATTCCGTTCTTTGGTAAGAGTGCCGATGTCTAAGAGCCGAGGGCAAGGAAGGTGTGCTGCTGCTGTGCTCCCCACCCCTCACGTGCGTGGGCCCCACTCAGCCTTGGTTGAATGGGCCTCTCTGGCCCCACGGTTCCCCTATAATTGTCCCAGGCTCCTGGGCAGGGCTGCTCCCAGATGGGACTTCTCAAACAAAATCACCTGGAAGATGGTCTTCAGGGCCCAGGCATCTGAATTTTTAACGGAACTGCCAAAGTGATTCTGAGGTGTTCGGGGACCTATTTTGAGTGACTTGGACCATCCCTTCTCGGTTACAGATGGGAAAACAGAAGTCTAGGAGCATGCTGACGGTCACATTAAGTCAGGGGCTGTGTTAAGGCCCCAGCCAGTCCTGAGGGTTCTGGGCCAGCTGGGAGGCAGGAAATGAAACGTCTGCACCAGCTCCACCTCCACCACCCAGCCCAGGCCTGCCCTGCTGGGCTTGTTCTCTGCCTCAGGTGGCCTTGCTCGGCAACCTGTGGGCCTGTTGCCCTGAGCTAACGGGAGGAGGGTGGCGCTCAAGGCTCCAGCTTGAGCGAGGCCCTGCCTCCTGGCAGCCCCCCTTGGCACCCTGGCCCAGTACCAAAGGCTGTGGGGCCCAACCAGCTGGCTCGGCTGCCAGGAGTTAATCCCGAAGAGCTGAGTGAGACAACAGCTCTGGAGGGAGGAGGAGGGCAGGGCTGTGCCTGGGGTTGATTACCAACACCCTTGGTAACATCCAGGTGCTTCCTGCCCTGGCTCATTCCCACGGGTGTGTCCCTCGGCCCCTCAGGGCCCGGCCCAACTGACCTAACTGAATGTGTTTCTTCTGACCCCACAGTCCTCTGTAAGATGGAAGTGGTGCCTCCAGCCCATGGGGCAGCTCCAGCCCGGTCTGCCGCCCCTGAGGCCCAGCTGAGGAAGCCTGAGGCAAGTGGGTAGGAGGAAAGCTGTGGGGGGAGCTGCAGGCTGTGGGCACTGAGTCTACTGGCTGTTCTTCAGGCATGTCCCTAGTAGCTCCTCTGGTCCCCAACCCCAGGAGGAGCCCCTGGCCCAACCCTCCGGGGCTCCAGGGCAGGGTGGGCGTAGCACAGCCCCTTTTATCTCCTCCTGGGCTGGAGCTGGCAGGCAGATGGGGAGCTCCTTGGGCGCACCGCTGTCTCCGTAGGGACACCAGCCCCCCGACATTCTAGCCACTGCCCCTGCGAGGCTCCTGTATCATTGGAGGTATACACCTCACCTGACGTGACACCCCCTGTGTTTCTCTGGTCTGCTCATTGTGCCCCCAGCGCCCCCGCCTCTGTCCTGGAGAGACCCAACTCTCAAGCCCCAGTGTCTTCCTGGGGGCAGTGGGAAGGGGGTGTGCTCCTGGGAAGGGGGTGTTGAGACCCTGAGTCCCTTGGAAGGACCTGAAGAGGCCCCTGGTGGGCCTTAAGATTCCCAGGCCTGGTAGGGGGTCCCTTGCTTTCTCCAGTAGCCATGGGATAGTTATGTACGGACCCTTTTCTTCTCAGATGGGGCAGTGGGGCCAAGGCAGGCCCCTCTCCAAGCCCTCACTGTAGCTCCCAGCTCCTCTCCTACTTGAAGTTCAGAGCCTGGGATTCAAAGTAGGGCTGCTATTTGTCCTCAGATCCTACAAACCTCCCTGACCCAACTCTCACCCTGGCAGAGGGCCAGGGCTCTGCCAGTCCTTTGTCTGCTGAACTCGGTCCTTCTTCTTGAGTGTCCTCAAGTGAAGTCTAGGCTCCTATCCACCGTGAGTGGGCAAGATACCCTGGAGACTGCTCCTACTCAAGGGGACCTGGGTCCCCCCAAGACCTGGGCCCTGCCTGCCTGTTCATGATTCTTGGCACTTCCCCCATGTGGGAGAGCCAGGGTGGACCTGTCCAACCTTTCCTACCCTTGAGCTTGCCACCTGTAGCCCTCAGAACATTACCAGGACCCAGCTTACAGAGGCCAGGTCTTCCTTACCCCTGCCTACCACTACCCAGTGTCCTCAAGTCCCGCAGGTGGCAGGGGTCCCCGGCTACTACAGGACTGGTCCTCACTGGATCTGCCTGGTGCTTCTTCAACACTGACTCCAGCTCACTGGGTGTGGCGGTTCCCTGGCTTCTGGAGCCAAGTCCTTTCCAGCTGTTGCCATCGTGGAGCCTTCTTCCGCACCTGTGAGTGCTATTTCACCTGGAGTTAGCTTACCCCTCTCCCTGCCTCATGGGGACTGCTGGCCCCATACCCCTGGTCTCCTCCAGCGTTCTCAGGACTGGTGGGGAGCCTTCTCCTGGCTCAGCGGGTGCCACACTCTGTACAACAGGCTTTCTGAGAAGCCCCAGCAGGTAGCCCTGTTCTCTTGTAGCCCTCAGGCCCATCTGTGATGGGGGCTCCAACCCTCCAGCTGAGCCCACCCCTGCAAAGGAGGTGCTGAGGCTGCTGTACCTTGCTCACTGGCCTCCCTCCCAGGATCCCCTCTGGAGCCTGCTGTTGAGAACCTCAGGAAGACAGAGCCCAATCCCTTTTCCCCTTCTCCTATGGGGACTTTGTCTGTCATGGCCCCTGACTGCTGGGGGACCCATGCCAAGGCCCCGACCCACAGCCCCTTCCTTACTGACTACTGCCCTTTCCACAGGGTGGACCCTTAACTTCCTGGACAGAGGCATAATAACCCTCAAAATGTTCTTCTCAAGCAGATAGACTGCTTGGCACCAGGCTTTGGCTAGCTGGGCTGAGCTGGGCAGCAGGAGTGTCTCCAAGGCTACCTGGACAGCAGGACTCCCCCACAGTCCTGAGGAACCAATGCTCACAGCCCCTGCCATGTTCCTGCTGGGGGTGTCCCACCCCAAGACCCAGCTCCCCTCCCACCATGGCTGCTGAGAATCCCCCATCCTGACTCACCCTAGGGGTTGTAGAGACCACCGCAAGAGACCACAGACAGCTGGAAAGAGTGCCCAATGTTTCTGCACCCCATTATATGGAGCTAACTTTGGCAGGAGGGAACATGGACTGTGGGAAGACTGCAGGTCCCCCTTTCCCTGCCCGTGGTGGGCAGGCCCTCAGCTTGAGAGTCTAACCAGAGACGGAACTGCCCTAGTCCAGGCCCAGTTTTCCCTCAAGCAGAGCCCCCTGTATGTTTGTCTTCCCAGCGGGCCGCAGGCCCAGAGCCCCAGTGATGTCTGGGTGGCCTGTGTCCCATCCACTGTGCCCTCTGCCCCCGAAGGGAGTCTGGCTCTACTCCTGGCCTGGAACTTCGTATGAACCCTGAAAAAGAAGACACCTTTGTCCCACCAAGAAAAGCTCCTGGTGGCTAACTGCACTTAAATTAAAAAAAACAAAACCCAGAGCCTATCAGCCATTGCTACACAGGGGCCTCAAATAAAGTGCACCTCAGGGAGAGGTCTGCACTGAAATGCCTGCCTTCACTATTTCTGCCACCTGAGCCGGCCCTTACGGAGGAATTCTTAGAGTCCTATTTCAGCCAGTAGGACTGAGGCTTTCCCCATCCAAACTGAGCTGGGCAGCAGTGATCATTCTGAGTAGCTCCATTCTGAATAATCAGGAAAGTGTTTTTTGGACCAATCAAACTGTGAGGATTTGGACTCCTCATTTGCATGAGGACACACTAATCAGGGATGGGGGCAGGGACTTCTGTCTATGTAAGCCAGCTTCCCTCTGACTTTGGTAGTGCACGTTTCCTTTCCACCAAAGACTGAAGACTGTTTCCCTGACTGAGTTGGAACACTGAACATGTCTCCCTGGAGCAGAGCCGAGCAGATGAGCACAGGCCAGAGCAGAGTGGCACAGAACACAGCAAACACAGGCCAAAGCAGACCATCGAAGAACAGAGCGGAGCTGTGTAGCCGGACAGGGGCCTGGCTCCAGGGCTGCCTCACAGCTGTGCTGTTTTCACATTGGTGCTGTATCACAGTCAATCTATTTGCACTGAATAAAGTTTCATTCTTCACTGCACCCCAACTTGGAGACCCTCGTTGGTATTGAATTGGTGCAAAAACCCATGAGTTGACATTGGAGGATGGGTACCATGCTAGAGGCCTCAGGTCTGACCTCGGGCTCGAGGGCACACACAAAGAGCAACACATAGGTTAATAACTAACTTCTCAACTGAAACAACAGGAACCATGAGGTCGTACAATGTGCTAAAAGAAAATAACTGCAGATTCAAGTTTAATAAATAACAAAAATACTGTCAGAAAATAAGGCGAAACAGCCCTGGCTAGTGCAGCTCAGTGGACTGAGCGGTGGCCTGGGAATGAAGGGTCATCGGTTCAATTTCTGGTCAGGGTACATGCCTGGGTTATGGGATGGGTCCCTAGTTGGGGGCACACAAGAGGCAATCACACATTGCTGTTTCTCTTCCTTTCTCCCTCCCTCCCCCTCTTCCTAAAAATAAATTAAAACCTTTTTTTTAAAAAAATTTATTTATTTATCTTTACAGGGGAAGGGAAGGAGAGAAGAGGAGAAACATCAATGTATGGTTGCCTTTCGTGCATCCCCTGCTGGGAACTGGCCTGCAGGGAACCAGCCTGCAACCCAGGCATGTGCCCTGACTGGGAATCGAACTGCGATTGTCTGGTTCACAGGCCCTCACTCAATCCACTGAGCTACACCAGCCAGGGCCTAAAACCTTAAAAAAAGAAAATAAGGCAAAACAAAGATATTTTCAGACATATACAAGCTGAGAGAATACAAGCCTAGGAGCAGAGCTAAGAGGTATTTTTCATGGAGAAGGCAATCTGTGCAAGATGGAAGGTCAGATATGCTATAGGGAATATACATATAAATAGTCTATCTAAGTGTGTATTTTGACCTTCCTTTAAGTGGAAAATTTCTATCTATACAGGTGTAAAGAAAATAATATAGTAATCTCTCATTCATTTTGAATCATTACCAACATATAGACACTCTTGCTTTCTCTATACTCTTCATACCCTGCTTACACTAGATTATTTAAAATAAATCCCAAGCTTTGTTTAAAAAACATCTATTTTTAAAAAGTCAGTATGCATATGTTTTGTACAATAATTCCTTTTTTAACAGAAGCACAGGAGTATTATCAGACCTAAAAAGTAAAATTATCAATAATACCTTAGCCCTGGCTGGTGTAGTAGTGGATTGAGTAGAGGGTTTTCTTTCTTCTCTAAGATAATTTTTTTAAATGATCAAATGTCCAGTCAGCATTCAAAGTACCTAATTACTGTCTCATTTTGTAGATGGATATTCAAACCAAGAGTCTTAAAATATCCATTTATTGTATTTGATTAATGTGTTTCTTATGTCTGTTCTTTAAATAAAATTTAAAATAAAAAAAAAACCTCTTTTTACTTTGGAAATTTCAAATACAAATAAAAGTAGGGAAACTAATGTAATGAACCCAATGAGACAGAGGGTGGATAAAAAAGGCTTTATCCTTCAAATACCGGGGATCTGTTCTCTGATTGGCTATTGTTACTTCTGGTCACCAAGGTGCAGACAGAGACACTCAGCCATTGTTGCACCTCCTCCACTGCAGAAAGCCGTTCCACCTCTGGATGAAGTGACTTCCAGAAGATTTAGAGGATTTGTACCTTCTTTCTCCACTTATTTTTGGCTTTTCCCCTTTTAGGAGCCAGACATTTGAAAACAAATAGAAGATTAGAACATTCAACTTCATGCCCTGGCTGGTGTAGCTCAGTGGATTGAGCATGGGCCTGAAAACCAAACAGTCACCAGTTTGATCTCCAGTCAGGGTACATGTCTGGGTTGTGGGCCAGGCCCCCAATAGGGGGCGTGCAAGAGGCAACCACACATTGATGTTTCTCTTCCTCTATTTCTCCTTCCTTTCTCCTCTCTCTAAAAATAAATAAAATCTTTTTAAAAAACTTCATATACATTAGAAATGATAAAAAGTTACTGTGCATGCCCAAGGAAAGGCTTAGAAAGGATCTGAGAAGACAATTATGATTACACATTAGGCTGATTTTTGGCACAGAGATGGCCTATAAACTTTCTTTAAAAAACAAAATAAAGAAAAAAAATAATAGAAAAGCAAATCCAGAGAAGGTGAAAATCTGATTTCAAGTGATACCACACTATTATTCAAATATCCATTTTTAACAAAAGAAATTACAATGCGTACAAAGAAACAGGAAAGTATAGCCTTATCAGAACAAACCAAAAAATACGTCAGAAGAATCTGTCCCTATAAAAATCATAATGGCAAATATACTACACAAAGTCTTTGAAGTGACTGGACTTCTGGTCAAGATGGTGGCACAGACAGACATGGCTTACCTCTTCAAACAACCGGATCAAAATTACAACTAAAATACAGAAAACCATCACTCAGAACCAGCAGAAATTGAGTTGAATGGAAGTGTGACAACCATGGAATAAAAGAAACCACATCCACCCAGACTAGTAAGAGGGCCACAGACGTGGAATGGGTTGGTTCCTCAACCATGTGTGGGGGATAAAAACTGGGGAGGGATAACTTGGGAGCCTAGAGTCCCAGACCCACACCAGGCCCCCCAGACCAGGGTTCCAGTGCCAGGAAGATAAGTCCCCACAATTTCTGGCTGCAAAAACCAGCGAGGATTGAGTTGGTGGAAGAAACTGCTGAAGCCCAAAGCAGTTCCTCTTAAAGAACCCAGACACGGACTCATCTACTCAGACTCACTCCCTCTGAGCTCCAGCACCGGGGTAGCAGCTTGAAAGGCACCAGTGGTATACAGGGAGAAACTGAAGTGTGTGGCATCAGGGTGAGCAGAGGCCATCGTCCCTTTTCTAAACCATCCCCCTAGAGAGCCAGCAAGCCCGTGCCATATTTGAGACTTCATCAACTTGGCTAACACTGTTTGACCCACATTGGAGATCCCCAGAGACTCAGCCCCAACCAATTTATGGGCCCACCCAAGCTATTTTTCCATATGAATGGCTGGTCTTGGGTCATACTACACAAATTCCTAAATCCTCTCAAGCAAGCAACAGCTGGCCTCACTGAGCCTCAGGCCCAGCACTAGCAGCAGCCAGCCTAGATTCACAGCTTGGTTTCACTTAGGAATCTCCAAGCTCAGCACAAGTAGTAGCCATCTCAGATTGATTTATAGCTCAGGCAGGGTGGCCCTGGCAGAAACACAAGTAGGAGCTGATCTTGGCTAGCACACCCAGTGGATAGCTACAGACCACATTGGACTTCTACCACCTGGGCCCTGCACAGCTGAACCTCCACAGAGGGCAGAGGATGGTAGTCAATGGTCACAGCCAATCCTTGCAGCTGACTGACCTGGGTAAATCCCTCTCATTGATCTTTCAACAACAATCAAGGCTCAACTACAAGAGGAGAGTATACTCAGCCTACACAAAGAGCACACCTCAAGTGCCCAGCTTGAATAATAGGGGAGGCTGTGCCACTGGACCCTATAGAACACCTACTACATTAGGCCACACTACCAAGACATGGAGTCAAAGCAGCTCTACCTAATACACAGAAACAAACAGGGAGGCTGCCGAAATGAGGAGACAAAGAAACATAGCCCAAATGAAAGAACAGATCAATACTCCAGAAAAAGAGCTAAACAAAATGGAGATAAGCAATCTATCAGATGCAGAGTTTGAAACACTGGTTATAAGGATGCTCAAAAAACTTAGTGAGTAATTCAACAATATAGAAAAGATCCAGTCAGAAATGAAGGATACACTAATTGAAATAAAGAACGATTTGCCCTGGCTGGTGTAGCTCAGTGGATTGAGCGCGGGCCTGCGAACCAGATAATCACGGTTCGATTCCCAGTCAGGGCACATGCCGAGGTTGCAGGCAGGTTCCCTGCAGGCCAGTTCCCAGCAGGGGACGCACAAACGCAACCATACATTGATGTTTCTCTCCCTCTCTCCTTCCCTTCTCCTCTAAAGACAAATAAATAAAATCTTAAAAAAAAAAAAAGAAAGAAAGAAAGAACGATTTGCAGGGAAACAGTAGAGTGGATGAAACCAAGAATCAAATCAATGATTTGGAACATAAGGAAGCAAAAAAATAACCAATCAGAACAAGAAGAAAAAAATCTCCCCACCCCCCCAAAAAACCCAGAGGATAGTATAAGTAGCCTCTGGGACAACCTCAAGAGGCCCAACATTCTCATCATAGGGGTGCCAGAGGAAAAGACAAAGAGCAAGAAATTGGAAATTTATTTGAAAAAATAATGGAAGAAAACTTCCCTAACTTGGTGTAGGAAATAAACATGCAAGTCCAGGAGACACAGAGAGCCCAATAAAAAATGGGTGCAAAGAGGCCCACTCCAAAACATGTCATCATTAAAATGCCAAAGGTTAAAGATAAAGAGAATCTTAAATGCAGCAAGAGAAAAGCAGTTAATTACCTGCAGGGGCACCCCATAAGAATGTTAGCTGATTTCTCAAAAGAAACTTTGCAAGCTATATGGAACTGGCAAGAAGTATTCAAAGTCATGGAAAGCAGGGACCTACAGCCAAGATTGCTATACCCAGCAAAGATATCATTTAGAATCCGAGGGGAGATATAAAGTTCTTCCCAGACAAGGAAAAACTGAAGGGGTTAATCATCACCAAACCATTATTATATGAAAAGTTAAAGGGACTTATTTAAGAAAAGGAAGAAGATCAAAACGATGAACAATAAATGGCCAAAAAAACCCAAAAAACCCCATAGCTATCAACAATTGAATCTAAAAAACAAACTAAGCAAACAAGTAGAGAGAATATCATAGATTCAGAGTGTTTTGATGGTTGCCAGATGGGAGGGGGGGCTTGGGAAATGTGTGAAGAGGTGAAGGGATTAAGAAGTACAAATAGGTAGTTACAGAATAGCCACGGGGATGTGAAGTACAGTATTGGAAATGGAGTAGCCAAAGAACTTACACGCATGACCCATGGACATGAACAATAGTGTGGCGATTGTTTGAGGGAGTGCAAGAGTGCTGGGTTGAGGAAGGCAAAGGTGGAAAAATGAGGACAACTGTAATATCATGATCAATAAAACATAAATAAATAAATGTCACAGGGATGTAAAGTACAGCACAGGGAATTTAGTCAGTAACATTGTTATAACTATGTTTATAAGGTATATAAATGTCCAACTACCATGTTGTACACTTAAAAGTAATATTGTCAACTGTTGTTAAAAAAGGAAAAAGTTTTTTTTTAATTTGAAGATAGGTCAGTAATCATCAAGTCTGAAGAACAAAAAGAAAACAGATGAGGAGAAGTGAACAGAGCCTAAGGACCTTGTGGGATACCATCAAGCC